TATTTTATTTAAATTTATTTAAAATTAGCTGCTAAATTTTACGTTTTTAATCTTTGAACAATTCCAAAAATATATCCAAACAAAATTTGTTTATTTCCTCCTAGACTATTTAGGTAGTAATTCCTCTTTTTTTTATTTAGGATTTTTTTAATTGAAAAAATTGTTTTGGGAAATGGCGTATTTAATTATTTGGATTAAAGTGAAGAGACTAAAAAAAGGAAGAAAATAGTAACAATATTTAAAAGAAAGAAAGGAAGGGAAGGGAAGGGGTAATTTCCGGAAATATTCTAATAAAAATACTAATGTGTTTTGATAATATTTATTGTGTGATGCCGGTAGTAACAATGTTAAGGAGGACATGTACACGGATATTTTTAGCTGCAGATAGTTAGCATTGTTACTGCCATCATGAGGGTATTTTTGAATTTTTTGTTATAATTTTTTTTGTAAATATTTTTTCGTGTTTTGCAGTTTGTGTGTATGCATTACGCGCATTTTTGTAATTATTATTTTTGCAGAATTTTTTGTATTTTATATTTTGTAGACAAAAACACACACATTCTCTTATGCTAAAATATTTAGAAGAAAGTACGCAAATACACGCCATACATTTTTGTAATTTTTGTAAAAAATTTCGAAATATTTAAATGAAGATGGAGTTAGTTTGGTTAGTGGGCGATCATAAAAAAGGAAGGAAGGAAACATTTTTTAATATTTAGGAGAGAAAGGCATGTGCTGATTTATATTTTAAGTGTGTTGATTAACTTAAATATATATTTTTTGAGTTATTTGTAAAGAATTGGGGGAAAGTTTTTGTGTGTGTTCAATGAAAAAGGTCGTCCCCCCTTTCAATGATTTTTACTAGACAGACACTTCTTTCTTATACTTTTTACTAAAAATCGCCTCATTTTTACGTCATTTATAAAAAAAAAGAAAAATCAAAGAAAGAATTTGTGGAAGTAGTATATGTAGAGAATGGAAGGAAGAGGATTTTAAAAAAATATAAAAGTGCAAAGTATTGTTTCTTTAAGAAAGAGATTTATATATTTAATTAAAAAGATTTGTTAAAAGTACAGACAAGAAAAGATTAAAAGTGTTGAGATTTATATAAATATAAATATCTAAGATTTTTTAAAAAATTTTTTCAATTTTTTCCTGTTAAAGAGACAATTAAAAATATTTAAATTTATGTAGCATATATCCAAGACTATAAAAAGAATTTAAAAAAAAAATTGAAGAAAATTTTTAGTTAACAAGGGAACCTATCGAACTGTCACCAAAAATTTCGTAAATATTTTTGCAGCATCGTGTAGAGCATTCAAAACCAAACTTGAACTTCTTTAGTTAGCTAGGAATGATGAACATTTTAAAGAGATTTAGTGAAAATTTGTCTTTTATTTTATTAAAAAAGAAAATTTCGAAATATTTTTAGAAGTTACGCTTATCATTTTTAATTTCATTGAAAAAAAAATTAGAAACGTTCGAGAGATCGGGGAATTCCCTTTTTTTATTTTACACGTTCTTTGCTTTTTTTGTAGTTTAAAATAAGAGAGAGTTAAATTAAATTAATCTACATATTAATTTACAAAAAAAATATTTTTTTTATACATATTTCGCTGAATTTTATGTCATTTTTTTTAATTTAAATTAATTAAAAAATATATATTAGTATTTAGGTATTTCTGTTTATTTATTTAATTAAATTATTTACAAAAAAAATTAATTTATTTAAATTTTACCCAAAAATTATATGTTAATTAAGAGAAAGAGAAAAATGTTTTTTCTGTGAAAATGGTTGATTACTTCCTAAATTTATGCAAAAGAAACAATTATGTAAACAATATACATATATGTTTAGAAATTAAATTAAAAAGTACATTTAATTAGACTAAATTTGTATGTTTTTTTTGTTTTTTCGAGAATGTCTAGACTTTGCTGAAAAAAAGTAAAAAATTAAAAATATAATTGAGGGAGTAAAAAAAAATGTAAAAAAATTTTTTTACTTAATGTAAAAAAAAACAAATTATCTTTAATGTAAAGGGGAAAGATACACATTTTAACAAATATTTGGATTCTCTCTCTCTTTTAAAAAATTCCAAACAATTTTACTAAATCAAAATAAACAAAATTATTATTTTTTAAAAAAATAATAAATTTAATTACTTTTATTTTTAAAAAATTAATTTTTAGCTATAAAATCTATTTTTATAATTAAAAAGTAAAGAAAACTATGGAATATTTTTTTGTCTAGAGCTAAAAATGGAGGAGAGCTAATTTAATATTTTAAAAGTTCAATAGAATAAATAATAATAATAATTGAGATTTTGCTTACGAAATAAAAACAAACAAAATCTGAGGGCAGAAATAATTTTGAAAATTAAAAAATTCTTTTAGATTAAATATTGGGGGGAGAGGGGGGGGGGGGAGGAGGGGGATTAATTGGACATTACGTACAAGTTTTCTATTTGATAGACCAATTTACGTCTCATGGTTTGGATTAAAAGATCCTCGGATATTTATTTGATAATTTTGGGATTTCTAAGCTTTTCTCTTTACTCGCGGGTAGAGAATGGTTCGAAAACCATTTGTTCCAAAAAAACACCATTCCCCTACCTCTGGTAATTCCCCGTTCTCGGTTAATTCCACAAGTCGGTGAAAGGTTAAACAATAATTCCCCCAACCCCTCCCTCCCCCTTCGAATAATTCCCATTCCACAAATGGTCTGAAATTTAATTCTTCAGAGGAATTAATAAAATAAGCCCGGGGCTTATTTTTTCAATCATAGAGAAAATACGGTATATATGGATATTCCTTTATTGAAGATCTTAAATGTGTTTTAAAATAGAGATTAATATTTTTTGAAAATAAATAAATTAAAATTTGGATAATTTCCGGTCATTAAAAATATATTTTTGTTTTTTAAAAAATAAAAGATTTTTGAATTAAAAATTTACAGTAATATATATTAGCATAAATTAAAAAGTAAACGAGATAATTGTTTTTTAAAAGTGTTCTGTTTTTTTGTTTTTATTTAAAAAATAGTGGGATAATGGCTATTAATATATATTATTTTTTATTTTTAATATTTATGTCATTAAGGATTAGGAAAGAAAGAAAAAAATAAGAGCCAAAGATTAAAAAAAATAAAAGTTTAAAAAGGAGTTCTAAGTTTATAATAGTGAAAAACAAAATATTATTAGGGCTAAAAAAATAAAAGGAGACTAGAATAAATTAGTGGATTGAAAGGGATTAAATTTTAAAATTTTAATAATAAAAACAAAAAAAGAAGATCTTCAATTTAAATAAAAATTAAAAACAAAATAATGTACAATCTCTATTAAAATGACGTTATCTCATGGATATATCACCCCCCCTTCCCTATTTTGAGTCTCAGAGTGCTCCTTAACAAGTAATAATGGTCAGTCCTTCTTCCTTCTCCAATTGTACTCCATTTCCCCGAGACATATTCAAATGTGACATTAATAAAGAAAAGAAAATGTGCCGAACGTTAAAAATAATGGGTGGGGGCTAACTCAAGGAATGACCAGCTCATGAAATATTTTAAAAATCGGAATTTTTTGAAAAATCTGAATATTTTTAAAAAATAAGTATTTAAAACAAATTAGAATACTTCAAAAAACAAAATTAAAAAAAATTCTGAAAAATTACGCTTTTTTAAATTATTCCATAAGTTGGTCGTTCCTTGACTTGTCTTTCCTTGATTTGCCACCAGAATGGTATTCTATTCATTAATCACTTTCCAATTAATCACTATACCTGAACCGATTAGACCGGCTAAAATATATATTTATTTTATAGGATTTGGCCAGTATAAGCGATCAAAAGATCAAATATCCATCCACATATTTATTCAAATAAAAATCTTACAATATATAAAAAACATCTTTAAAATGAAAAATAAGTGAAAAAGATACCCCAAATAAGCTCATGACTAGAAAAAATTTTGGACATCTGATATTATCATAATTGATACCATTTTTTCTTCTCATATTTATCCAATAATCTGAAAAGAAAGTTTTATAACAAGAGATTCTTGGTAAATTAAATACTTTGCAGATCTGCTTTGAATATTCATTGCATTATGTTTTAACTTTTCGGTTGCATCAGAGACAGCATTTAAACGTTCACTGCGCTCTGCCAAATTCTGAAAAAAACAAAAATTGTTTTAAAAACAAAATAAAAGTTTCGGGGATTCTAATTTTTTGAAGATTAGAAAATTCACCACAAAATATATAGAAAACTTTAAGCCTAATATTTTACCTGAATCGCTTCACGAGCAGCTTGTCCAGCAGTAACAGACCTAGACGTGCCTGTTTCAATACTACTTAATTGTTGTTGTTGGGGTGTTAGTAATGGCCGAGTAACTCCTCGAACTTGATTAGGGGCTGTTGTTGAAGTTGGTTTTTCTGATACTTAAAAAGTATTGTTATCGATAAAAATTGAAAATTAAAAATCTAACATAATGCATCCATTTCCTCCATTTGACTACATCCATTTCCAGCAACACCAGTAACCGCTGCAATTGAATTGACAACACCTCGCAGAAAAGAATGAACTTTTGGAGGTTCTGGCATATCACAAGGGACAAATAATTCTCCCATACATTCTGCAACCTCAAAATTTATTTAAAAATTAATTTTAAAAAGATTATGATTTTGAATAAACCTGGGATGCAATCTCAGCGCTAACAGTGAATTTTTGTACCTAAAAAGTTGATAAATTTGTATTCGAATAATAAAAGTTAAATAAACCTCTGAATTTGAAACTAAATTCATTCCACATCCATTTTCAGAAAAAGCAAAACGTTGACAAATTCTAAAATTTATTTATTAATAATTTGTAGTTTTAATATAAAAACAACCTATCCTCAATACAATTAGAAGAAAGAGGCATCAATGAACAATTCAATAATTGTTTAAATGAAGGTAAACTCATCACAATAATTGAACCTAAAAACATAATTTAGAGTTTTTTAAGAGTCAATCATTACCGGCAACATTCAAAGCTAACAAAGCAGGCTGTCCACTAATATGTGTAGTTGAAGCACAAATTAATGGATGTTGTTGCTGTTCTGAATCAGAAAAAGAGCGTTGAAAGACTCGATGATAGGAAGGTAAAGCAACTGCACTAACTTCAGAAGAAGTTACAAATATAGCCATCTAATTAATATTTTTAAATAAAAAGATTAATTTAGAAAAAATAAACTTGTAAAAATTCCTCCTCTTTGACCACATTTGAGGTCAGTGTTTGTTGTGTTTCCATTTCTGTTTGGGTAGAAGTAGATGAAGGCACCGCTGATGATTGAATAGTTTTTGTTAGCACCTAAATAAAACATTCAAAAATTAAATTTTAAAATATAAACAAAAAAGAGAGAAAAAAAGAAGAAAAATATAGAAAGAACCCAAAAAGAAAAACTTAAAGAAAAATTCCCCCAAACTTGCTTTTCTTTTAATTATTTCCCATTTTTTCTTTGCTTCTCCTTTCCCTCCTACTCTTTCCTTGCTTGCCTTATTTGAAGGTAATGATGATTGAAGATCATTTGGAGAATTAGAAGACTCATCATTTTTATTTAAATTTTCTTCTTGAAGATTTGAATTTAAAGAATTTGTTTCTATTTTGGCATTTTTATTATTCGAGTTTTCACTGGGTGCCGCCAATAATCGAAAATCACGGTCCATAAAAGCAATACACAGCAATTTGTTGCTTTTCCCATTTGTAGATTTAGATAAACGAACAATTGACCCTTTGAATTAAAAAAGAATAAAAAGGAATTTTTGTGGAACTTTAAGGAAGATTTTTAGAGGTCATTAATGATAGCAAAAGAATTAATTCATAATTTTTACCAGAGGGTGCAACAACAACGTTTGAAGAAATTCTATTTGAAGGTAATTGAAGTTGAAAGGCTAATGCACTACCCATAGACGTTCCAATCCAAAGACAAGGATCAAATTTAGTAACTACAAAAATTATATTTATTTTTCCATAAATAAAAACAAACCTCCCTTTTTAGCACAACAATTAATAAATTGTAAATGAGAAACAAATTCCTCCAAATATTTTTGATTTGTACATTTATCCAAAGATTCAGTGGAGGAAGAAGTAGATGGAACTTGCGAGTCAATACAAGGCTTTATATCACCTTTTTTTAATTAAAATAATTTTAAATAAAAATTTAATTTAATTAATTCATACCATTACAATTAATAAAATTCGATTCTTGTTGTTGTTGAATTGAATTTTCTAATCCAGTTTCATCACAAGCAGCAAAAGCATTGAAAGTTGAAGCTTTAAGTAATTGTGGCCTTTGAAGTTTTGTTCCCAACAAAAACCGATTTGTGCTTTTTTCTGTATTATTTTCTATTCCAGACCCCCCAGTCGATTCTGTTGTATTTCCTTTAAAAAACATTTTATTTTTAATTTAAAAATTTAAAAATACCTCGAGAAAGAGGTCCGGGTGATTTCGGAGGTAATGGCACTGATGTAGGAGGAGTTTGAGTTGAAAATTGATGCTAAAAATTTAAAAAAAATTAAAGAGAAGAAAATAAACTAGGAATTTAAAATGAAAATTTAAAAAATGTTAAGGAAAAATAAACAAAAAGGTTAATAATGGTACAAAGAAAAATTAAAATTTAAAAAAAATATGAAAATTGAGTTAAGGAAAGCCACAAAACAGCAATCAAGAAAAAGGTAAAAAAACTAAAAAAATTTTTTTGGTTTCTCACTTTTAGACGAGTACGTAAAGCTTTGGAAGAAAATGAAAAAGCTGAGGGAGAGGAGGTAGAAGAGGAATTTGGAGTTTTTAAAACTGAAGGTGATGATTCGGTAGTAATAGGTATTATGTTGTTATTATTTGGAGTTGAAGGTGTAGAAGATTGACAAAGAATCTAATTTATATATAAGTAAAATAAGTGAAAGAGAAGGGATATAACAAAAAATTTTTTTTGAAAAATAAAAATTCAAAAGTAGATGAGCAGAAATTTAAAAAAAACTCAAAAATAGTTTCATAATTAAGAGACAAAAATAAAATAGAAATATGTATATATAAAATAAGCTTTAAATATAGAAATATTTAATAATTTTGGCTAAAATTAGTTTGATGAAATAAAAGAAATTAACACTAATTTAAATTAAAAACCTCTACTCCCGGACAACTAGGAGATCCTGGTCCAGTAGCAACATCTTGACTAGTCAAGGAACTCCAAAAAGGAATTGGATCGCGACCCAACAATTCAGAATTATGCCAAGCATAAATCTAAAAGTATAAAAAACCGAAATATATTGTAATAAAAAATTAAAAAAAACCAAAGAAGCTGTTTGTGAATCAACAAGTGCCAAACCAACACAAGTACCAATAGCTAGTAGACCATAAGCTGAATTAAATGCCAATGCGGTTACTCGTTCAGGATTGTTTCCATTTATCCAAGGGATCTGGCAAACCAATTCTGGTTGATAACCTTATTGAAATAGTTAAAACATCTATTAAATTTTAAAAAGAAAATACCTGCAGGTCTTCGCAAAGCACCTCCCCGAACTTTTAAAGGAGTTATTTCGGCAAGTTGTTGAGAACATATCGATGTATCTGTAGAATGTGATGATGAATTGCGGGATGGGCGTTGATGCTGTTGCGACTCGGATGCTGCTCCTTTAAATATTTATATAAGATTTATTTAAAAAATTAAAGCAAAAAAACCTTGTCGTTTCAATTCAGCTCTATTAGATTGTTGTGCCTCACTACTACTCCCTGATTGTTGATTCCATTTCTTTTTAGTATTTTGAGGTTGTTTTTCTTCATCTTTTAGATTACTAGGTGAGGGAGGGCATGAAGGTGGCGAAGGAATTTGAGCAGTAGAACGGCAAAGTTGAGGTAAGTTAATGACCTAATTAGGTGATTTTTTAAAAAATTTAAATAAACTAACAGCAATTTCTTGGCAACAATCAGTTTTAGAAAATCTAAAAAGTGTAATTTGTCCTGAACGACTAGCAACAATCAAAAGGCGAGAATCAAGACACATTTCAGCATTAAAGACAGCATGACTAGGAGAAATGTTTTTCTGCTTTAAAAAGAAAATTAGAAAAAAATATATTTAAATTTATACTTTTAATCGAATATTATCTACAGCTCCACTTCCTTTACGTTTATTGATGGCTGCTGCTGTTCCTCTAGCAGTCGAATGGGAATAATGCGAAGGAATATTTTTTTCAAAGTGCCGTCCTGTTTTTAATTTGTACATAACCTAAACAAATTTTTAAAAATACTTTTTTAAAAAGAAAATAATTAAAAAACATACTTGCAATTGTTCACTAGATGCTTGCCAAAATTTAATGGAACCTAAAAGTTATTAGGATTCGGGCATGCTTTGACAAAAAAATATTACCATCTTCATGACCAGTAAGCAACATTTCTTGATGTCCAGTAGCACATTCTCGGCCAACCCCTCCTAAAAAAAAGAATATTATCAAAAACTTATTTTTAACAAACCGCTAAACGGCCATTGCCTGTCGCTAAGACGAACGCCTTGTCTTCTTTGGTTTCGTCCAACCAAAGTTAATGCAGCAATTAAATCAACAGGACAATCAGAGTAATACCCAAAAATAAATATTGTTTGTTTTTAAAAGCTAAAATCTTTTCCAACTTTAAAAGTGTCACCGGCGATTCATGCAAATCCATCGGATGCGGCACTTCAAAACAAGGATACCTACAAAATTATTCTCAAATCATTATTTTTAAAATTAAAATTCAAACCCTTGTGCTTGTATATCCACAACCAAAAGGTCATTTTTAAGGAGGACAGCAATTGCATGTGGATGCTGGGCAACTGAGGCATGAGGAGAATTGTTGAGCGGAACCATTTCGACAATCGCGTGATCCATCTTTTTTTCAAATTTTCTTACAAAAATTTATTTAAAAAATAAACCTCAAGAACAGTTAATGAGCCTTTTGCTCTGAGGACTGTAAGTGACGGAAGTGCTCCTTCATCCATTGGCATTCCTAAAAAGAAAATTTTTTTAATTCACAAAATTTAAAAACCTCCAGCAAAAATAATTAATTGTTCTCCATCTGTGTTTGTATTCCAACTTAATTGTGTAATTGGTTTACAAGAAATATGCTGTGAGGGAAGTGTTGCTGATGCTCCTCCACAAGAACTTGGTGAACTGCCTCCACCAGAAGATGCAATAGGGGAATGTGGGGTTGTTTTGTGAATAAGTTCACGAGGCTTTTTAATATTCCAAATTGAAAGAGACCCTTTTTTAAAAACAAAATTTAATTAAAAATTACTTCTTTAATAACCATTTTGATGTCCACACATAAATTGTCTTCCATCACTATTCCAACAAAAAGCAGTCACAGGACTAAGTTCAGTAGCAGCAGCAAAACGTTCCCCTGTTTTAGTCAAAATATTCCAAAGAACGACATGACCTTTTTCAAATCCAATTAATATTTTTGAAGGTTCTGTTGGGCAAGACTGAAAAATATTTTTAAGTTTAAAAACATAAATAATTTACTTGTAATGTTTTAACATAGCCTGGATGTGATCGACAACTCCTAGAAAAATTTAAAAATATTTTTAAATAACAAAAGACAATATTTAAAACAATTTCTATCGACAAAAAACAGCTTACATATCAACAGCTTTGTTCCAATAAATTATTTGTGTAGATAACTCAAAAGTTCCCAAATTGATAAAATAAATATTTCCCTACAAAAAATTAGTTAAAAATTAAAAAAAAATTTCCAAACCTTTTCTGTTCCAACCATTAACCATTTACTTTGAAAAGGTAAATATATTGTAGTAATACTTTCTTTTGACATTTTAAGTGAATGAACAATTTCTGGAGTTCTTTGCCTTTTAGAAAAATGTTCCTCAAAAAAATATTTTTACAAAAAAATACCTATAATTCCATAAATGTAAAGTATCATCCCCCAAAGCTGTAATTAACCCTCCCTAAAAATTTTTTATAATTTTAATTTAAAATTCAACAAAACCTCGTTAACGAGAAATTGAATGTGAGTGACAGGCTCATCAGAATCATGCTGTAAAAAATGTTCAACACCGGCCTGTCCTAGTAATCTAACAGATCCACGGGCAGCACCAATTGCGCATAATTTCTGAACTGGATCAAAGGCCATACATCTAGGGCCGTCAGGGAAGCCGTGACGGATTATCTAGAAAAATAATTTTATATACTCTTTTAACACTAAAACCTTGCTAAGCCTGCAATCGCTATCCTCAAGCCTTTCTCTAACCATTGAATGAATTTTGGCAATTGTCGAAGCAGAAGACGAAGAAGGGCCTTCCTGCGAATCAGCATCTGTGAATTGTGCTCTTAGACCATCAATTGCAGAAGCTAGACGTCTGCGAGCTCGTTCCATTATTTCTTAGAATTTTTTATTTAAATTTATTTAAAAGCTTTTAAGGTGAAAGAATAGTTAAAAATTGGGAAAATTTTTAAAATTAAAAATTCTTAAAAAACTTTTTTAATTTAAAAGTCGTTTCCGGCGTGTTGCTATTTTTTCACTCTTTTGGTCATAAAAGAAACTTACAATTAAATGTCCCAAATTGAACGTTTTCTTAGCCAATTTTCTTTTAAAAAATTTTTTGTTAAAAGGTTTTTGTTGTTGGAAGGTTGACAATAAAAAAAGTAAAGAAATCACTTTTGTTGTTTTCAAAAGCTTTTTTTGTTGTTTAGTCCTCTAGAGAAGTTAACTACCTTAACTAAAAGAAAAAAATATATATAAAAACATTTAAGGCATTAAAATGTCAAAGTAAATGAAAAAACTTTAACTATTTTAAAAGAAAAATCTAAAAATACAATCCATTCCTTTTCCAATTTTTTACATTTATTAATTAGCAAAAAAGGGAGGAATTTCCCACAAGGTGAGATACGTTTGACGTAATAAAACAATAACAGATTTTTAAATTTAAGAAAAGTTAAGAGATTTTATTTTTGTGCCGTGAGTTTGAAAGTAGGGAATATTGGGCAATGAGTGACTCCGGCAAGGGCGTAGTCAGGGGGGCTTCTGGGGCTATAGCCCCCCTGAAATGGGGAGAAGGGAATCGGCTCCAGTAAAAACAATTTCCGAATTCCGACAGAATTTGCCCGAATCCCCGAACAAACTCCGCGATTTTTTCGCGTTAAAATTTTTAAATAATAAATTTCGTCAAAATGTTTACTTTTAAAATAAACTTTTAAAGCTAATTTAAAAAATGAGAATTTTCTAATAAAATTTAATAAATAAAAATGTTGGTGAAATTTAAAAGTTGGTGAAGCAATGGAGAAAAAACATTTTTGGGGGGAAGAAAGCGGCCCTGGAACAGTGATATTATTCTCTTCTCCATTACACAATGCAATTTAGCTTTTCCTCAAGTGCACAAATATAGAGAGGATTGGGGGAAGGGGGATTGGGGGGAAGCGTTCCGTAAGTCTAAATACTCTAGGGAAATAAACAAATGAAGAAAGAATATAGAAAAAAGGGATTAAAGTAAAAAATTTTTCACTATAATTTGCCTTTGATTCCCGCCACGTTGTTTTTAAAGGTTTAGGTAATTTAAATTATGAAAAAAATTCTGGGGAATATTTTTGAAATTAAATAGTTAAATACAAAAAAAAAGTGTGTGTGAATAGGATAACAATAACCAAAAAGAAATGAAGAAAAATAATAATAAAAAGGGGGAAGTTTTTGGAATAAACATCTGTCAAGATATTTGGAATTGTTGACGATAATAATAATTCTAAGAAAATACAAAGGAGGAAGAAAGAAAGAAGAAAATAAAAGGACAAAATAATCTTTTATAAAATATTCTAATTGTTACACGAGGAATGGGAGGGACTCTCTTCTACCGAATTTCGAATTAAATTTTTTTTCTAATTTCGAATTAAACGGTTATTTTCGCTTATGTAGAATAACACGTAAAAGCATACATAATTCTCGCCTCTTTTTAATAAAAAAATAAATATATGTATTTCTCGTTTATCTTTTTCTCTATTTTTGTAAGCATATATTTATCTCTTAATGTGCTTTTGGCACACATTTGGGGGTAAATTACTATATTTTTTTTTTTTTTTTTTCTTTATCGACACAAATAAAATGTGAAACAATAAAATAAATACTCCTGGATCCACAAGGATCACTTATGGAGATAGTTAAATTATACAAAAAAAGTTTTTAAAATACATATGGTAATACAGTTAAAAAAATACATAGTTAAAAAAATGGACTCCACAGAAAAAAATATATAAATGCAATAAAATTATACACAATAAAACGAATGTCATAAAAAAAAATAGCTTAAATAAAAATTTTTAACTAAATGGTCAACTAAAATTTAATTAAAATTAACTTAAAACAGTGAACATTTTGGGTAGGATTTATTTTATTGATACATTTATTTTGTTAATACATTATGCTCCATTAACCTCTTGCTATAAATTAGAATCTTCGGCGATTAATATTTTATCTAAAAGTTTTCTAAATTGAGGAATAGTATTGATTTTTTCCATTTCATTTTTAGGAAGTTTATTCCATTTATCTATAACTCTATGTGAGAAGAAATGATTATTTTTGGCTTGTTTTTTAAATAATTGATATCTATGCAAGCGCGGATTATTTCTATTAGGTTTTGAAAATATTTGTTCAGGCTTTATTTTATAGAAACCCTTTATTATTTTGAAGGTTGTCATAAGATCTGTTCTTATACGACGGATATTAGTTGGTGGGAGATTGCATCTTTTTAGTCTTTCGTTATACCCTATTTTCTGATATTTGTATTTATATCTTAAAATTCTCCTTGTAAAGCTTTTTTGCGGTCTTTCTAATTGTTTATTAAGATATTCTAATTTGGGGCTAAAATTTTCAGTGGAATACTCCATAAGTGGTCTTACGTATGTTTTGAATGCCTTTACATATGTTTCTATTGGTAATGTTTTGGGTAATATTCCTAGGATATTATTTAGCCTTATAAACGAGGACTTAGTAATTTTTGCTATATGTTGATCGAATTTAAGTCTGTTATCTATGTATATACCTAGGTCTCTTATGTTAGTAACTTCTTCGATTTTTTCACCACTAATCTCATAATTAAAATTAATTTTATTGTATATTTTTAAAACCTTTACTTTTGAAATAGAGAATTCTAGCTTATTATCTTTTGCCCATCTATATGCATTGTTTATAGCTTTTTGTAGCTCTATGCAATCTTTTTCTGACTTTATTTCTGAATAAAGCTTGAAATCGTCTGCATATAATTTTACTTTAATATTTTTTGGAATGTGGCTGGGCAGGTCATTTATATATATCAAAAACAGCAATGGTCCCAGGACAGTCCCTTGGGGGACACCTGTTTTAGGCAAAAATGGTTCAGAGTAATTCTCATCTATTTTTACAATATGAGATCGATTATTTAGGAAATTTGCTACCCATCTAATTGTTAACCTATCTATTTTAATTTCTTGTAATTTTCTAATAAGTATTTCATGATCTACTTTATCAAATGCTTTTTGAAAATCAAAATATATGACGTCTGTACCTATTTTTCTATCAAGTGAGTTGAACCAGTCTTGCATAGATGATAAAATTTGGAGTGTACACGAGCTTTTGGGTAAGAACCCAAATTGCTCTTCAGCGATTATTTTATGTTTGTTAAGGTGTTCTAATAGCTTATTCGCTAGCAAGCGCTCAAAAACTCTACAAACTGGAGATGTTAATGCAATTGGTCTATAATTTTTTGGGTCGTTTACTGAACCCTTCTTTTTAAATATCGGTATAATGTGTGCTGTTTTCCATAATTCAGGGACTATTCCGGTCTTAAATGTATTGTTATATAGAATTGATAGAGGAAGAGCTAATGGGCCTATTTCTCGCCTCTTTTTAATAAAAAAATAAATATATGTATTTCTCGTTTATCTTTTTCTCTATTTTTGTAAGCATATATTTATCTCTTAATGTGCTTTTGGCACACATTTGGGGGTAAATTACTATATTTATTTATTTCCTTTTTTACTAATTGATTTTTATTCTCGAGAAATATGGATTCTCAAATAATAATTACTTCATTTTATTTTAATTTTAAATAAGTAAAAGCAAAAAAGAAAGACAGAAAAGAATAAAAATTTGGTATAATTTAATACAAAATTGAATAAAAAAATGTTTCTTAAATAGAAAAAAAATAAAAATAAAATTTATGCAAAAAATATGTAAAATGCCAATTATGGATCTCAAAAAGGATAAAAAAACGCTTAATAAATGATTGAATAAAAAGACCAAAAAACTATGAATATAGAAAAGAATTAGGGACGAAATCGCACATTTGCATGCCTGTCTCTAAATTTATTTGAGAACTTTTGAATATTTTTGTCGAATTTTAAAAAAAAAGTATGCCTTTTTGGGAAAATTAAAATAAAATAAGAAACCAAAAAAAATCAAAATTTGGAAGGAAATTAGCATAAAGAGTTTACTAAAATAAAGAATAGTTTTTTCCTTAATTTTTGAGTAGACAGACGGACTAACAAATTCGAAACAATTTAACAAATCCGGGCCCTTGTAATAATATTGACATTTTTAAACATTATTTTATCAATTTTTTGTTCAATTGGATGAATTATTTAAAATAGCATTATGCATGGAAAATAAAAAGAAAAAATGAGTGGATGGAAATGAGTCCCTTTAGAGAGCATTCCATTGTTTTTTTTTAACTTTTTGTTGACTTTCCCCTTTTATGTTGAAAAGTGTGCTTCTTCCCCAAATTCCTAATATTCTTTTTTCGAATATATATTTGAATAAATTAAGAGTTTTTGAAAAGAGAGATGAGGGGATAAAAGTGTATTAGGTTAAAAATGTCAATATTTAATAAATTAGAATAAAAAAGTAGACAAAATTTTGGAAGTTTTTGAACATCTAAATAAATACATATATCTGTTCAAAATAAAAATGTTTAGAAAAAGCGCCAATAAAAAAATTGTGTAAAAAAATAAAATTGGTTGGTGGTGGTTAGAAAATGAATGAACGGTAACAGAATCGGCGTGTCAATAGCCAAAAAACGTAAAATAGGGCCAAAAGACTGCAGCCATAGCCGGAAAGGGAATGGAGAGAAAAGAGAGAGAAGGAAGGGAAGAAAGTGATGTTATAAGCAATGAAATTGGCAAATATATTTTTTGTGATAAATGGAAAATAGTCGGCACATTTTGGCCCCCAATAAATACACCACTGACAATATTTAATAGTATAACCCTCTAAGGCAATAGAAAATTGGGGAGGTGGAAATGCGGAATGGAGAGATATTAATAGGGGACAAATAAAAACGAGAATTGCTCAATATAAGAAAAACCCATAAAATAACCAAAAAAAACTTTTTAAAAAACCAACCTTAAATCACTACCAAATAACTGTTCTCATATTATTTTGTAAATCATTGAATTATTTTTCTTTAAATGTTAATCATTACCATCATCAATTGGTACTATAAAATTTAAATAAATTTAAATATCTTAAATAATAAAACAAAAATTCAAAATCAAATAAAATTATTATAGAAAAAATAAATTATTTAATTAAACAAAAAAACTTCCATTTTTAGACATTTATCTATTAATTTAAATAAACAAATTATTAACTAAATGAATTAATTGACTAGAATTGTTTCTTTTTGATGCTAAATAAGTATGTTTTTAAATGAGGAAAAATATATTTTGAAAAAATAATAGAATATATTGCTTGTTACAGAAAAAAGTGTCAATAAATGCGAATATATAATTGTGTGGAAAATGCCGAAAATGTTTGGAATGTAAGACAAAAAATAAACTATTTACTATGTCCTTTTTTAGAAAATTTTTAAAATTATGCTTAAAATTTTAAATCAATTAATTTCAAAGGACATATTAAACAATAAATTTTTAAAAGATCAATGCCAGGTTTATAAAAGAATGTTTGTAGGGCTGTGATTTCTAATAAAATTTAAAATGAAAACCACTCTTGTTTGGGAACAAAGACCGAAAAAGAAATACTTCACATAATCACATCCCTAGTTAAGAATTTATATAAAGGATAAAGGGATTTAAGGATTTTCAAAACTAGCAATTTTTAGAAGAAAACTGAAAACTAGGAGAAAATTTTCTAAACTTGTTAGTCAATTTCAACCTAAAAATCAGCAATTGCATTGTTGAGAAGCTGGTTTCTGTGCTCCACTTGTCGAATTTAACCGCAACTAATTAAAAAAATATATTTTAAAAAATAAAGACTAAACTAACATTGCCTTGAGCCTGTTGATTTTGTTGTTGATTTTGATCAAGGCTCTCAGCCATTTTATTGCAAATTATCTAAAGAAATTAAAAAATATTTTTAAAAGATATAACAAAAACTAACCTCAACTAATTTCTCAAACACAGGCTTTACATTAATATTTTCCTTAGCCGAAGCTTCGAAAAATTCAAGACCTACAAATTATCTTTAAAATTAATTTTATAAAATTTATTAAACCAAGTTGGTCAGCTAGCTGTCGACCTCTTTCAATGGACACAACACGTTCATCGTCCATATCGCATTTATTGCCAACAAGCACAACTTGCGCATTTTCCCAGCTGTAAGTCTTTATTTGTGTGCACCAATCTTGGACTGAATTGAAAGATCTGAGAAAAAAAATTTTTTAATTTTATTTAAAGAATAATATTAAATACTCACTCTTCATTTGTAATATCATACCTGAAAATAAAAGATGTACATAATAATTTCATAATGTATATATAAACATACATAAGTATGAAACCCATTGCACCACGGTAATAAGCTGTTGTAATCGTCCGGTAGCGTTCTTGACCAGCAGTGTCCTAATAAAATAAAATGTGTACATGAAAATTCTTTTAAAATCTAAAATACCCAAATTTGAAGCTTGACACGTTTATCACCACGAAAGACGGTTTTCACTTTGAAATCAATTCCAACTGTTGAAACAAACGCAGAAGTAAATGAGTCGTCGCAGTAGCGGAAAAGAAATGAAGTTTTGCCCACCGAAGAATTACTAAAAATAACAAAAATCATTTTCAAAAAAAAATAAAATACCCTATAATAAGCAGCTTAAACATATAATCAAAGTTCTGGTCACTACTGGTAGTTGTTGTCCCGCCAGCACTTGTTCCACCTGAACCTGCTGATGTTGCATTAGCAGAAGCAGAATTATAGGTAGTCGAGTGGTGGGCCATAACTGACAGTTAGTCAATGGTTATAGTTTACTGAAAAAGAAGTAAAATTTGTGATATTTTAAAAATAAAAATTAGAAAAAGATGGGGCTTATTAAAACAGCTCATGAAAAATTTCCCTCATTTTTCATCCATTGAATATTTAAAAATCTATAAAAATTGACGATATTTCACGTCAAATGCACAAAATAGATATACATATAAAGGGTAAATTGAGGAAATGAGAAGAGAGAGAAAAGAATGAGAGAGAGAAAAGCCGCCACACTTTGTATGTCAGTAAAAACAGTTTGGCAGGCTTTTTCTAATTACCCAAATTAGATTATTGGTAAAATCGAAAATAACGGAAAAGAATTTTAAACTAATCTTAGAAATTTATACGCTTGTATAAAAATTGTAAACTTTTTAATTTAACAAATTTTAAAGGAGTTTTAAGGATTTTCAGTTATTGCTTAAATGTCGAACATCGCCGTATCCTTTTTTATGCCACCCGAATAAAATAACTAGTATGTGTGTATTTCTTTGCAACTATTGGGTAACAATCTCGTCAATCTTTTATTGACATAGTGCCGCCCATGAGAACGAGAAAATTCATTCAGTTAGTTTATGCCAATATTCACAAAGTGTGAGTTTTTTATGGACCGACACAAAGACAACACAAGAATAGAATGCGTGCGGACTCCTAGCTTTTGCCATTTTTTTCAAACAAAAATAGAGGTACGCATGAAATAAGTTAAAGCACGGCAAAGCAGTCTTAAAATGGCGCAAACAGAGGAAGCATGGAGAAAAATTATCGATTTATTTTATTAATTTTGAATGACGTGGTACACACGTTTTAAAGAGAAAATTTAATCAGAAAAGAAAACTTTTAAAACCTAAAATCAAAAATACCACTGAAACCCGTAGTGGTTAAAAGGTACCTTAAAAACTATTTATTGAATACCATCCAGTGATAGTAATATTGAACTTGACAGACCCCATTCTTTCCTCCCCAAGTTTTTTCCTAAATATCTACAAAATGGTCAGACTTTTTCTTTCAACCATCCCAATTGCCTTATTGTTACATTTTTTAATTGAGAAGTCTTTCACAGCTCTCATATTTGTTAAATAGTGTCGTAACCCATCCTCAAAAGTCGGGGAATTTGAGATATTTTTTGAACACCCACTTCCCATGGCCTTACAAAATCGAAGTCTTGTAACACCAAAAGCTTAAAAACTTAACGTGTAATACCAAGAGCTCTATTAAAGTTAAAATACTAACCTGTAACCAAATTCCACTCTTGAAATCGTTTTTTCAATTAGACATTTATGGGTCGTAAATTTTCAAATGTTTTCGTCATTAATATTAGCAGCATCGCAGTACTCCTTAACTACATAATAAAATAATTTATGAGAAAATGTATGGAAACAATGTATGGAAAACAAAAGATCCATTAAATCTACTAATTAAACACAATTCAATTTTATTTATAGACAACATATAGATAGTAGATAACGTATATATAGTATTTAAATAAGCTTAAAAAACAATTCCAAAACTGTAGGAAAAAAAGGTTGACAATGAGGGGCAGTAAGCATAAAATTGAAGTGACCTAAATCTGAAAGAATTTTATAAGATAATCATAGATAAAAGAATATTAGTGATTTCTTTACTATAAATAAAATATTCTTTCTTAAAAACTCTTAAAAATTGCTATTTTTCATCAAGTACGTTTATTTAAATTAAACGATAAAAAGTAACTGTTTTTTAATAAATCAACCATTATTAATTCAACAAAAAATATATAAAGAAAGCACGTAATATATAAATAAAGCAAAAAAGGTAAATACTAATCTTATATTTATTTCCCATTTTTAAATTGGAACTTGATATCCAGCACTAGATTCTCGCACTTTGAAGTGCTTAATATAATCATCGACTAAGCGGCGTGTATTCTTCTGGACTTGAATATTAAATAAAAGCTCCTTGTTTCCTTCTTGACTGTCCAAAACTTTGTGTGTGATCTGGGGTTAAATATTTTGTTTAGTAGAAAAAAAAAGTTTAGTATAAATAACCTTGCGCAAGAAGCCACTATACTCGTTTGGATTGGGGAAGAAACGCTAAAATTGAAAATAATATATACGAACCACCGTATGAAAACCTTGCGATATGCTTCGATACATTTTGCAACCAACGCAGACACCTGGCGTTTGAACTCGGCTCTACGGTGTTGTAAAAGTAGTGGATTTTGCAATGAATCTTCATTGTTTGCAACAACAGCATTGAGATCAATCAATTCTTCACCTGGAGGCAAATCCCAACGAGCTTCCCTAAATTAATTAAATGAAATTTTAGAAAATCTAGAAAAATCAGAAAATAACCTTGTATCTTTATGATAGTAGTATGGAGTTCCTGAAATTAAAAAAGTATATAATAGACAAAAATAGGTAATCTCCATCTGTATAAGCTTCACTAACGAGATAAAATTAAAAATTGAAATTTAGTGCTTATGACTAGGGCTAGGATTTTAGGCAAAATGCCTGTTTTTTTCCTAAATAGGCCTGATGCTGAAACGTCCAAATCAGGTGTTATTTTACTAAAATCTTCTTCCTAACTAATTTTATCGTTGCCTAAAATTGCCTATTTTGGCTTATTTTTCAAAAAAATTTTTTTTGAAAATTTTTTTGTCAAAAAATTTTTATTTTAAAAATTTATTCAAATTATTTTCGGAAGCAAAATAATTGATATAAATTAATTTATATTCGCAATTCTTATCGTCAAAATTAATTTATATAACAGTTTATTGCTTAAATTCAACCATTTTTATAGATTTTAGTCTATATTTTTTCAGATCTAGCTCAAATTTTAAGAAATTTTGTATATTTTGCTTGCCTATTTTGCCTTTTTTCGAAATAAGGTGCCTATTTTGGCAGTTTTTTAGTGCCTATATAGGCGCCTATTTTTGACTTTTTAGTGCCTAAAAATCCTAGCCCTACTTATGACAGATGTCTAGTTAATAACTATCTAGATAGGAAAAAGATAAAAAAAAGGACCATCAGTATCTTTAGCAACAAGCCAAATGCCACTTTTCGTTACTAATTGGCCAGTTGCCGATGGATTTGCAGAAGAAGATGTAGTTGTTGAAGGATTGTCTGACGTAGAAGCATGATTAGCTTCAGATACTGGCACTTCTGTTTTAGTCATTGTAATTGAATCAGCAGTTTGAACAACATTACCAGCATTATGTTCAACGCTAACGGGATTTGCCAAATTTTGTTCATCACGATTTATCAAAGCATTTGAAGACGACGGAATTGTTGTCACATTTGAAAGAGATAATTGATGCTGAGGAACGGCTAAAATTGAGATAGAAAAAGGAATTTGCATTCATCAAATTTTCAAATAAAAATATAATGATAAATACAACTTACAATATTCAGACTGTCCACCAGAGGTATTGTTTTTCATTGCATTTAAAGTTAGTTCACGATTGGAAATTCGTGGATCTTCAGGTGGTGTATTTGAATGTGAAGGTTGATTGCCACTCGAAGTAGCAGAAAACTGTTCTTGATGTTGTTGTAATTGCTGGGCAATATTCCTCGAAATATTTTCTTGGCGAGGTTGCAAAACAATCGGTGGATTATTGCCATTACTGGTAGGATTGTTCGAAACTGTACCAGTTCCAATTCGAGCCCGTTTGGCGACAGGAATATTGGAAGAAGAACAAGCTGCGTCCTCTTAAATAGAAAATTACATGAATTTAAGAAAATCTTAAAATACGATTTTGGTCGTTAGAATGAGTACGCTTCTTTGCTTGCAATGTTGTGGTAGATGTTGATGTATTTTTCACTTTAATTGCTACAGGTAATTGTGAAGAATGCTTGTTTTGGAGATTGGCAAGTTGCTGGCCTTGTTGAACAGCAAGTAAAGTATTCGCTCCCAGACCTAATGGGAGTGGAGGAGGACCGTGCATATCTCTTCGCATCGTTTCCATAAAATAAACAAACTGAAATATCAGAAGAATCTAGACAAAAATAAGTTAAAAATAGAACCTCTTTCAATTGATGAATATATGCATCCAATTTTGGTGGATCTTGAAGAATGCTAACACTGATTTGCGGAGGTTGCATCATATCAGTAGAATCTAATTCATCACTCGATTCTAGCTCCATATCGGCAGCACTTGATTTTTGTTGCTCAGGATCACTTGCAATCTGAAGCGGCAGGAAATGGCCTTTTGAAGAGTATACAGGAACATCAATTTCCTTTTCGGTTGTTATATTTTCAGTTTTGATAGAACGAATAGTTGGTGCGATGGAGAACGGCGGCAAATGTTGTTGCATGACATTTATAGGATTCTTAATGAAAATAAAAATATGTAAATAAAAATAAAAGAACCTTATCTAGAGCAAGAGAATCTTTTCCTTTGCCAGAGGCTAAAAGTGTTTTTGTTTTCGTTTCAACCTCTGCCAGAATAGAACTAGAAGTGGTGAGACTGTCACTTGATGTGCTACTTGTTGATATTGTCGAAGAAGAATCATCATCATCTGATGAATGCAAACTGTCTTCGTCATTGGATAGACGGCGCTTGCGCTCAATTGTCTTCTTTTTGCTAGACGTCCTTAAAAAGATTTTTTATTCACAGGATTAGACAATAAAAGTTACTCATTTGTCGGTGGTTGAACAATTGTTTTTAATTTTTCCGCAATGGTGTTAATTTCTGCTTTCCTTGTTCCGTCCACTTTTTCACGTTCATTGTCAGCCTAAAATATTAAAAAGAAATTTGTTAATTGTAAAAACTTTATTTTGTTGTTGTTAAACTACCTTTTTAACAGGTTGCGCTTTGATCCCCGCAGAGTCTCCACGCTTCAATCTATCTCTTTCTTCATGTACAGATCTTTTGCGTTGCTCACAATTAGAATCGCCATCCACTTTTCCGTCCTAAAATTGCAATCAAAATTACTTCGTTAAAGAAGTTGATCCGATTTTTGAATGAGACAATTATACAAAAATAAAATTATTGAAA